GGAGCGAGCCCGGATCCAGCCGGGAGCGAGGAGACCCCCATCCCCACCAACCCTGTGCCCACCTCCATCCCAGGGCTGCGTTTCCCCGTCCCACCGTCCCCAGCAGGGACTTTTGCCATCCCTCAAGCTGTCGTCGCAGGGTTTTAGGGTTCGGTTTTTTAAAACGTTTAAGGTTTTTCCACGCTGCCCGTGGGCGCTGGGCCGCGGTGGCAGCTCGGTCGAGCCCCGATTAGGATCAGTGCTGCGCCTTGCGCTGAGTTTCACTCTCGTCCCGCTCGAGCTTGTTGCCACACGCCGGGCTCTGGCACAGCCCGGGCCCCGCTCCCTGCCCAAACCCGGCCTTATCTGCGTGCGGGAGCGTGCGGGAAGGGCAGGGTGGGGCGGGCGCCCGGCGGCTCCGGGCCAAGGCAAAAAGGAGGGGTGTGATTTTTTTTAATCAGCCTGACTCGCTGCTTGACTCCTCCCTGCGAACAGCCCGGCCGGCAGCGCCCAGTCATCCCCCCTATACACACACCCTGTTCCTCGCTCAGGTGGATTCTGGGGATGGAGGACACGAGAAAGACCCGAGGATGCTTTTCCCAACCGCTTGCAGCCCAGGAAAACACTCCCAGCCTTCACAATGCTCCCTCCCCACCCCAGAAAGTGGGATTTGGGGCTGTTCAACCCCTCCTGGCCAAGCCCCCGGGCATATGGTGGGTTTGGGGCATCTGGGGTACCTCTGCCCATCAAGGGGCTCACGTGGCAGGTGAGGGTGTCCAGCTCCTCCAGCCCCCCATGTCCCCCTCCCAGTGTCACATGCAGCACCTCACCAGCAATTAGAGCTCCTTCCCCAGGTCAGAGTGATCCTGTGGGAGCAGGTTCCACCCCACTGAGTCGGGAAAAGGTGTCTCCCAGAGGAATGGGCACACAGGAGACCATGGCCCGTCTCCCACCCTCTACCCAGTGGACAAGGCAGACCCAGAGAGGCCCTCCAAGAGCTTCCACCAGGCACAACCCCCTCCCATGGAGGGGCTGGAGCCAAACAGACACCACAATGTACCCAGCCCTCTAAAATCCATCTCCTTTCCTTGGAAAACCGTGAGGCAGCAATGCCTGGGTGGGTCGGTCTGAGCTCACACCCCTTAGGGCAGCAAAGCCGTACGTGGTTGGGGTCTGCAGCCCCCAGCCCCAGTGAAGGACTCGATGCCAGATGGGGCTTCCGGCCCTTGGGATGGTCCTGCCCTGCCCTGCCTGAATTTGGGCTCTGAGAGGGCTCCATGGGGAGACCCCGGCGGGATCCCCCTTCCCCAGCAGGACACGTGTGGGGTGTGGATGGTTCAGCCTCGGATATGGCATCTGCCAGAGGGGCTGAGCCGCTGCCAAATTTTGGCTGTGCCGGGCTGAGAGGAGGCTGCAGGAACACTCTGCTCTACCGGTTCCGTGGAAAACAGGCGGTGGGTGAAGGGAAGAGCCCCAGATCCTGGAGCAGGGGCTGTGGGTGAGCTCGGGTGCAGCATCACCCCCCGGAGCACCCATGGGTGCCCTGTCTGCCAAAGAGCAGCACCAGAAGGTGCATCCCAAACCACCCCATGATTCTGTGATCACCCCGGGGAGCCGGGCACCCAGTTAACCCCGGCCCTGGGGACGCTGCCCAGGCCAGTGCACGTCTCCAGTCCCCTGAGCCAAGGGCAGGCGTGGGCTGGGTGATGGCAGGAGGCAGAAGA